GAAACTATATTGAATTAACGCACATTAGTAACGTAAAAATCAACCTATAAAGCGCTAGGAAACCAAATATCAATTTTAATTGAATTTCAACTTTTATCAATTATTCTATGCATATTCTTATTCGGTGGAATAAAAAATTCTTTATATAAGAGAGAGAGATAGAGAGAGAGAGAGAGATAGAGAGATAGATAGATAGATAGATAGATAGATAGATAGATAGATAGATAGATAGAGAGAGAGAGAGAGAGAGAGATAGAAAGAGAGAGGACAATGATAAAAATGCTGATTAAAACAAAGAATATGAGGATGTTGCTTCAAATAAAGTATGGAATAACGACGCGATTCTTACTCCAGAACTTTAGATAATAGTGCAGAAAGTTGGATAAGACTACAGTCAAATCATAGCGGCTAAAACAATCAAGACGAGGATAATAAGTCTTAGAATTTAAAGCCGGAAATGAAGAAGATAGAAGCCGAAAGTATATGATCAAAGCAACAAAGATGAATATATTGAGATTTGAATAAATACACTAGCGTGAAAAAGTTCTGGATAAACTAAATAAAATAATTATATACCTTTATTTTATAAAAAACTTAAGATTGTTTTACAGTATGCTTTTATCGGTTGTATCTGTGGACCTTGAGGATTGGAAAATAAGATATTGCGTTTTCATAGGTGCCGTATAAGAGAAGACAAACCCGCTTTAAGTAGCTTGAAGCTGAAAAAAGGCATATAGAACTATTGGGCCAATGAAAGATCTGAGATGATAAAGTCAATAATATGCACATTTCTAAGTAGGAATTGTACTATCTTATCAACATCAGTGTAAGTTGGCTTGGCAAATCATTGTAGTTAAATAACTTGCTTTTTTATATTAAAATCATGGCTAAAATTTTTGCTGAAACAAAGATGAAGGTTGTGACTTTGAGGGGGAAGATGACTCAACGAGAGATAATCAGGTGGCCGGGAATTTCCAGAAACAATGTTAAAACCATCTAAAAGACGTTTGCTACTACTGGAATTGTTTTAAATGCAAAGAAAACTGGAAAACCACAAAAACTAGACAAGAGAGGTGAAAGAAAGATCTGAGAATCTAAGGAGGCAATCCAAAATTAAGATCCAGAAAAGTGAGGAGTGAATGCAGTTTTAACAATGAAATTTTAGTTGATACACTACGCAAGGATTTACGAAAATACAATTTGAAACCCTACCCCACCCAAAAAACTCAAAACATCATTAACCAGAAATCATTTGAAATGAAGATTGAAATGGTCAAAAGAACATTTAACAAGGGATGATGATAAGTGGCAAAAGGAAATTTGTAGTGATGAATGCAAAATAGTTACATTCTACTGCAAGAAAATATATAAGAAAATCAATGGGAGAAAGAAACAATATAATATACCGCAAAAAGACGGTAAAATTTGTTGGTGGATACGTTATGGTGTAGGGTGATGGTAGAAGTAAATAGGTCAAAATTGATAGAAACCTGAAACTATATTTAGTTTATTACCGTCTAATATTCTACCAAACTACGAAGATGGAGATATTTTTCAGCATAACGGTGCTCCTTGCTAAGTATCACCTGCAACAAAATGTTTTTTTGTGGATGAAGGTGTTCAACATTTAGAAGACTGGCCAACACAAAGTCCTGATTACAACATAATTGAACCATTGGGGGTGGGGACTGAAGAAATAAGTGATTCAACGAAAACCACTAGCTTTGGAATTACTGCCAAAAAAATGGGAAAATGGGAAAAATATTCCCAATGACAAAATCTGGGTTTATTTCGCTCAATGTCACATCAAATTGAGACAATTATTAGAACTAAAGATAGTATTATTAATTTCTAACTCCATACATAATTTGACGTTTTATACTTTCTGTAATAATGAAGATCACTTTTTGTAAATAAAATCCTTTTTAATTTAAGAAAAAACGGTGAAATTTTTACTGGCGGTTTGATATTTTTGCATGGCCTTTTTCAGTATCACTATATTTAAAATGCTTTATCATTCACCATACAACATTGACAAACATGCAGTAACTTGTTTTGGGGCTCTCAAAGACCATACAAAATAATAGGAAAGAATACTGTTAATCTCTCCCGATTTGGTTGTAAAGTAATTTACAAATGTAACCCAAAGGTTTTGTATATCGTCACTTATCTTACCGATTCGTAGATGGTATCCGTTCATCAGGGAGTAAAATTTAATTTTTGAAATTTATCTAACCCTTTGATAAGAAAATAACATTTTCAAAACTTTCATTTGGGAAGGTAAGTTTTCAAATGCTGTGGGCAAGATTAAAGAGAATGTAATAAGGTTGTTCTGATTCTTACAGACTACTTTGCGAATACTTTTGAAAATGGGAAAGACGCTGTGATAAATGCATATGTCCTGGGTAGGAAAATTTGAAGAGGACTAAGGCGCGAAAGTCCTAAATAGGTTATTTCTTTCTTAATGTTTGGGTATTTTCCAGGTAGAGATCGTGCATATATATATATATATATATATATATATATATATATATATATATATATATATATATATATAGCGTATATTTTGGTAGAAAATTTTCATCAAGACATGTCTCATTAAATAATTTAGACAAGTTTTGTATAATTATTTTTAATAGGATCCTCAAGTTTCTTAGTATCCTTATTAAAAGAAGAAGGAAAATTAACATGTTGATGCATATTCATCTTATTTCGAGTACTTTCGATATTAGCACAATGTCGCCATCATGGTTTTGTTTTTTCTAAGACAGTAGTTCATCTGAAAATTGAATTTTTTACGTATGAAGTGAAAAACACTAAGGTTATGTTCTGTACAATTTGAAATTTTATCATGTAGGCTCACGTCAAGGGAGGGTAACTAAGTTATTGTAATGTCTAAATATTTTATAAAGAACAAAACTATATATACATATGTGTGTGTGCGTGTATGCGCGTGTGTGTGTTTAGACAACTGCACTCTTCTTTTAAATAGAAATTGTGAATAAGAAATGCTTCGAACGAAGATGTTTGTATTTCGTTATACTCAACAAAAGTTCTGAATTGCAACGAGCATCCCCAGAGATATTGCATATGCCAGGTGCATTAATAGAGAGATAAGAGGACAAACGATTACATACTTTTATTCGATCTAAGTTATCTGTTCTGGAAGATGATCAATATAAATACGCTTATAAATTCTTCAAATTCGGTCGAATCCTTATTCCCGAGTGTTTATCACTGAACTATGCAAATGTTTCTGTTACAAACGAATGCAAAAACAAGAGTCGAATGTATTTAATTAGAATTCTCCAACTGTTTCATATTATTTAACCCTGAGCAATCGTTGGTGAACAATAGCCTAATTTTCCCATGTACGTAGAACTGCATATCTTATCAAGATATATTCAATTTATTTACGAACAAATGTATTCTAAAATTAACAAAAACATTAGCCGTAAAACATAAAGTTTTTCTAGCAGCTCACTGTTCGTAAGTTTGGTTCTCACTCGACCTTATTAAATATCTACTGAAGGTAATTGCTGCAGGTTAGTAGTTAACTAACTTCTCTTATAGACCATTTTTTAATAAGTTCATTTTTACAGGGGAGAGTTAAAAGAAAAATGTCAGTGTTAAAGAATTAAAACAAGCACCCCCCAGAGAAATTGCATTGAATAGGATTACTTTTTAAAAGGGCTTAGCTCTCCACAGATTCCTTTTATTTTATTATCTGTAAATGGCCATCAATTACTGTGAAAGATAGTGGAGTTGTTTCCCGTTGCTTTCAACAGTATTTTGAATTTAGAGTTGCCTTTGTCTTAACCTGGCTGGCAATCAATGTTCGAGAGCTCAGTTTACACTGCTATTTAACCAATAGGTAGTGGAAGAAAAGATAGCTTCATACCTTTTCCAATGGCATTGGTGTGAAAATGAAAGCGAAAGACTGTGATGAACCTTGAACTCAGTTCGTCGATTCCACACCGTGACAGTGATAGCTAGATAGAAAAAGGATAATTATCATATTTACTTTAGCTTACTGATTTACAGGGAAGATTTTTCAACTGGGCGGTGGAGGGCTTTGTTCGCTATGTCTTTCTTTCTTTCTTTCTTTCTTTCTTTCTTTCTTTCTCATTTTGCTCATATTTGTCCCACTGTATGTCTATCTTGAATATCAAATACATTGTAACAATATTGATATTCATCTTAACTCACTATCAGTATCATTACGAAAAGCATCTTCAAATTCTATTCCGAGTTTCGTTCCAAGTTCGCTGTGGACCAATCGTCTTTTGAAATTCTGCGCCTATTCTCAGCGGACTTTTCGAGCTGTCCGCCTTTGTGCTGCCGAATACCATTATGATCTGCGGACGTCAGATCGTGTCTGACAGCGGTCAAGCTGCCAACTGCCAAATGGACAAGGGACCATGCAAGGGAGATAATTAAGCAGGACTGAACACTGATAGACTGGCAGGTTAGTTTGGCTATCGGCGGTCAACACAAGAGATCGACTAGCTGCAAAGAGAGAGGGAGGGAGAGAGAGAGATGAAAGAAGAAAAACAAAAGAAAGAAGAAAAGACAAAGAAAAAGGGAGAAAAGACAAAGAAAAGTGTAAAAGGAAAAAGACAAAAGAAAAAATAAGAAAAAATAGAAGAAAAAAGAGAAGATGAAAAAGAAAAGAAAATGGCAAGGATGAAGAAAAAAGGAAATTAAACACATAAGACAAGAAGAAAAAGGAAAGAAAGTAGAAAATAAAGCAAAAAAGACCTAAAAAGATTCTGAAGTAGAAAAGGATAACAGAAGGCAAAACGCGAAAAAGACAAAAAGAGAAAAAAGAAAAAAACAGAATAGGAAGAAACATATTTGTGTCGAGATGAGGACTGAAGTGAAGTATTTACGGATAAAAAAACATTTCCAGATAGATAGAGAGAGAGAGAGCGAAAGAGAAAGAGAAAGAGACAAGATTGGAAAATACATATAAGATCCCTATCTCGCATTGTTTTCTGTTAAAAATGTAGTAAAATGAAGAGAGAGAGAGAGAGAGAGAGAGAGAGAGAGAGCAGAGACAGAAGGTGAAAAAGAAGACAGGGAGAATGAAAATGAGAAGAAAGAAGAATAATAAGAAGGGAGGGAAGAAGAAGAATCAAGAGAAATAGAATGTCCGAGAGGAGAAAAAACAAATGGAAGAAAGACAAATTAAGAGACGATGAAAAAAAGGTGGGGAGAAATAAAAAGTGAAAGAAAACAGAGAGAAGAAAGAAAACGAGTGAAAGAGAAAGTTTAGGGAAGAAAATAAGTAAGAAAGAAAAGAGAGAGAAAAGGAAGAAAAAGTGGGTGAAGTGAAAGTGAAAAGGAGGAGAAAGAAGAGATTTTTTTTTAATCAATTCACCCCAAGCAAGGCGACACGAGCACTAAGACACGGTGGAGTGAAAGAGAAGACAAAGACTTTAGAAGAAACCGAAAACCAAGTCCTAAACAGGAAAGACGAGATAAATCTCTACTTTTTTCAAAAGATAGAGAGAGGGGAGAGACAAAGAAAAGAAGAGAAATGGAAGAGGAGGAGAGAGAAGAAGAGAGATAGAGAGACGGCGTTTACTAAGAAGTAGAAAGCGAAGAGGGTAAAAGGCATGGTCTTATTAGTTTTCCATTTCAACCCATCAAACACATTAAACATGGCAGACAACATTGTTTGCGCACGCGTCTAATTTTACTGGCTGACGAATGATTTGGGCGCTGCTTGACATTACGAAAAGGATTTTTTTCGTTTATTAATGAAATTACATTCAACGCGTTTATAACGAGAAATCACTTAATTTTGAGAGGCACGAAATATTGAAGGGGAGGGAAGAATAATGGGGACCTTAATTGGGGTAGATGTATGATAGTGAATGGTGGAAGTGGACTGTCATGTTTAAGGTGAATTATTCGGGGTGAAAATTTGGTTGTAGAGGAGCGACGATTTTCCTTTTCTAATTGAACAATAATTATTATTATGGGGGGCGAGTAACCAGGATCTAGAATATACGATGTGTTATGTATGTGTGTGCGTGCGCGCGCGCGCGTTTGTGTGTGTGAAAAGAGGGGGAAGAAAAATAGGGTGAGACTGAGAGAGTGGTAACGGATGATACAATCAGAAATAGACATAAAGAAGTAGATAATAATGAGAAAGATAGAGAACAAAAAAGGAGAGAAGAATAAAAAATAACAATGATATAACAGGATGAATGAAAGAAAGATATGGCGAGAAATAATAGCAAAACAGAAAGATGGAAAGAGGAGAGAGAGAGAGAGAGAGAGAGAGAGAGAGAGAGAGAGAGGGGGAGGGGGAGAGAGGTGGGAAAGGGAAAAACGTACATAAAAATAGGAGACACAGCAAAGCGAGAAAGAGTGAGAAAGCTGAGACAAAAACGAACGAGAACGATAGAGAAAAATGAAAGAGAAAGCAGGAGAGTGATACAGTGAAAAAAAAAGAGAGAGATAGAATAAGAATAGGTTAAATAAAGAGAACATTTGTGAGAATGAAAATTAAACATAAAATAGAACAAGTTTCAATTTTTTAAGTTCGATCTTCAAGGCAGACAAATAGGTCCTCTTCACTTGAAAAAAGTGGATGCAGCACAACCTTTCTACCTCCAATTTTCTCCCATTTGGCCTTGTGAAAAGCAGAGAAAGATATCGGAAGATAAGATAGAACATTTATTTTTATTTAGGTATTTTCCTTTTTCTGTCAAATAATATTCTTTTATGTGTTTTCAGTATATCATGGTTCTTCACTGCTTTCTATACTTCCAAGTCCTCACTCTGCAAACCATTTACACAAATTACTTAGGTTGATTGCTCACTGTTTTCCTTTGCTTTTCTTGCATTCAATATGACCTGTACGTGTTAAATTTTCCAAGCTCTCCTCCTTCCTTATGTGGCCCAGAAATTTCAGTTTCTAATTATGTATCTTTACGTTCCCTTTTTTTATTAAAACTCCCATCTACGGTATTCTCAGCATCCTTCTATAGAATCACATATTTGTTACCTTAATTGTCCAACATTTAGGAATAATATCACATATCAGTTTAGGACTTTTTTATTTGTTACTAACGAATTTTTTCTATATCTTAAAAGTTTTTTTTTAAATTTCTGAGATCGGCAAAATTATTGTAACCCAGTGGGTGACATGACGAATCAAAACTTTAATAAAATTAGCGTAACAATCATAAAAAAAACAAGATTATTGATGTCTGTTTTATCTGCATTTCTCTATAGTGTATTTAAGAAATCTTGTTTATTTGAATTAATATTCACGTTTTTTCTTATTTTCTCGTTCTCGAAATCTAACACTTAGTAGACGGTCTTCCATGCACATAAATAAGAATTCAACAGTTTTAAATTTAACGTACAAATATTTAAACAAAAACAATTAAAAATATCATTACACACTGATTACTGTCTTTATCTTGGTTGTTAGCGTCACAAAATTTCAGTTATTGTACTATCCGGCCCTCTCCTACCTTCTCCAGCTATTTGTCGTAGTTGGTAAACTATCTGAAATTTTGTACCGAACACTTTATTCAACCTACGAGGGTAAACGGTTCTTATTACATTGATTCATGTCAAGCAAGGAGAGTGAAAGTGAATGAGAAAGAATTTAGATGGAACCGTAAACCCAATCTTAAACAGGGAACAAGGGATGGACCTCTAATTTTTGTTTCAGACGAGAGGAAATCTAGTCCTATTATCTCGATATGATATCTCGTATCATTTAATTCTGTCTAGTTAAGGGATATTTGTGACCACTGTCTTTTCTTCTGAAAGAGAATATGTGCTAACCAATTTTGAACTAAGAACTGGTTCTTCTTTTTCGCACGGTGTCCTTCCAGAATGTGACGATCATGGCTCTCCACACTAGGACATGTGTCCTATAGGGCGAGCCAATGGTAGAAAAATTAAACCTTGCTTGTCTTCCTCTTTGAATAAACTAAAATATATGATTTAAATTACTATCAGTACAATTAAGCCTTCTGATGTTCATTTCTATGTTTGTCCGACTGAAGAGGTCATTAGAATCCGTCATGTATACTGATGTATTCGATCGTCTTATTTTTCTGTGTTGTTCTTTTCGTATTTTTCTGACTTCATTTAGCAAGGGTCAGTGACACTCTCTTTCACTCAAAACATGATCAGCCATGCCTGATTTGCACCGTCTTCTAATGGAGGCTTGGTAGAATTGCTTCTGAATATTTTCCTTTTGTTGTACTAACCACAGATCCTCCCAATCTTTTCCAACATGCATCTGATATAAGGTAAACAACAGATTATTGTACTCGAGCTGTATATCCCTGCTTGTGGAACCTGATGTTATGCTTGCAGAAGAGTTGTTACCTCTTAGTGATGTTCTTAATGCTTATTATCTCCTGGTTGTGTGCGTTTGGATATTCACTTATATGTTTTCTTCGATTCTGTAGCAAGCAGACGATTCATTTGTTAACAATGTATAGATGGTGGGAATCGAAGTTCAGATATTGTCCACTATAGGAAGTGATAATCACCACAATGTGTGTATTTAGCATCCCATGGATTTGAGGCAGTAAACAGAAACACCAAGCTTAGCCTTAAAACTGTAACAATAGCTTAAAAAAAAAAATTACAATTTTTTTTATAATTAAGAATCATTCGTATCAGTATCACCCCCCTCCAAAAAAAATAAATAAAGTGACCCTAATTACACTATTTACATTATTCGGACTATTGTCCTCATCTTTGTTGCCATATTTATCACAACGTTTCGGCCGTTGTATGCTCCGGCCTTCTTCAGGTGGTTGGAATGTCGAACTGAACCCTTTATTTCGCTCGCTGGGGTAGATTGTTTTAGTTCCACGTGCCATGTCTAATGGATGTCAGTTATCTGTTATCTCCTGTTAATTCCCTTTTCCAAGTTCCCCACCACCTTAACCAGGTATTGAACTCACACTCTTGGGTCTTGTCACTGGATCTAACTAACGCCTTTATCCACTGTGTCATGTGTCTTTGGCAGTGTACATAATACCTCATCTCAGAAATATAGACAGATACTGAGTGATCCTAATTATACACAGTTTCAGTTATTCACAGTCAGCCAAGGAAATAATTTTTACTTTGTAATGAAACCAAAGCACAAGTATAGTGATGCTAGCATTTCGGATCTACCAAAGAGAAGTCTTCAAATGCTTTGTTTAAGTGAAAATAAGGAAATAAGAAAACATATACTGTGGTTACAAAGATCTACGGTAGGAGCGAATATTTTATCTTTATAATATTATTACTCTCTTTAATTATTATTCATTGTTGCTATGCTCCTACTGTGCCTAATTTATAAATTCAACTTTTTATGTACGTATTAGAAATACATAGCTTTGGCATTTTCTGTGTTTTCAGGTATCATCTGGGGATATTACAGATGAATAAGAGAGGTGGATGGCTGTTAATTTTGCAGTTCAAAAAGAATAGGTGGTTTAAATAAACATTGAGAGAAGCTGTAGTAAAAAAGAAAAAAAAAAGTTTAGTAAGTAGTAATATTGCATATACGAAGATACCATACGATGCTGAAAAGTTGTAGTCTCGAACAAGAAGAAATTATTAAAAAATTCTGATCATTTAATTATATTTTGTGAAGTCGATCAAACCGAGAAAATTACAGCATCTTAAAGTTAATAGCTTAATGATGACCATGATATTTATTTTGCATAATAGACATTTATGTTTCCTTGTTTGTTCGTTGTTATTTCGTTTCGGATTCAGGCGATCATAGCTTTTCATAGATTTATCTGAATTGCCATGATTTGTAGATAAGATTGTGGAGTGGATTTCCATTGCCTTCTCTACTGTTTTTGAATACATAGTAGTTCTTCTACTAGACTGGCTACCACCAGGGTTAGACAGTCCAGTTTACCCTAAATTTCAACCCAAAGCCGAGAGTGGGGAGAATAGACGGATTGGTACTTTTCAAAACGGAATTTGTGCGATAATGAACCTAACAGACTAAATTAGAACTTGAATTCGGTTTCATGATTCAGATATACGAACAGATAAACGTTGTGCTACCCGGAAAGCCTCCTCCCTTGTTAATATATATATTTTTATCTATTTTAAGTTAATATAAATAACTTAGATCGAAGATTATACGATGAAAATGTTAGATCAAAACTCAGCTACTGCGTTAGGAAATGGATCTATAGATCTACTTTTGTATTTGTAATTATGAAATACTTAATTTCGGTATCTCAGAATAACTTAAAGTAAAAAAAAAAAGAGAGAAAATACTAAATAAAATCCTACTGAATAAATGTAAGAATGAGAATAGAAGGAGAAAAAAAGAAAAAAGAAAAGAGTTCGTGGCCGCAATATAGAAAGAGATTGAAAAAGAGAAACCAAACAAAGAAGGGGTTATCGTTTGTAAAAGAAGTTAAATCACTCATCTTAAAAGAGAAAAATCTGTATTGTGTAGAATGGTAAAGAAAAGAAAGATTTTGTAAAGACTAACATCGAATAGGCAAAGAGGAAATAAAAAAAAAGAAGAGAAACAAAAGAATCGAAATAATCGGAGAAGAAGGGCTTAATTTCGAATTAATTCCAGTAAAAGACGTGCTGGGTCAAAAGGTAATGTCCGCCAACCAATATTAACTATTTTTGGCAATGTCTCCTTATGTGTTAATTTGACTGGTACAATAAATAGAACGTGAGAAAACACTGGGAGAAAGATGGGCTAAAGATACTTAGAGATTCCTGTGCTTCGCCCCGTCAAGAATAGCGTTTTGACTCGTGTTTTTCTATTCCCAAGAGATTTCTTGTTCTGTCGTCTCAACCGGATTTGCTTTCCGTAATCTTTATTAGCAAATGCAAAACGAAGCAATCAGACCACATTGTCTAATTTGTTACATTTCAACTTGTGAACAGTGTCATCTCAAATCGCCATTATATTGATGACCGAACCGAAAGGTCACTAAAAATGTCACACAATTGCTATTATATATGTTCACTAAACTGAACTTCGCCTGGCAAAAAACAAAAAGTAGAGGGCACTTAGTGTGGATCGAAATTACTACTGCAGTAAAGATGAAAATTTCTTTTGTTGATATTTACTAAATGCTGTGCAAAGACAAAGGTGTGTGGCACTCAGTGAAGATCAAAATCATTACAGTAGTAATAATATGCAAAATTAGCTTGCTAATTAATTATACATAGCAAAGTTCCAAAAGCACCTTTCCTGTTGAGCAAGTTCGGTATAAAGCCACATTTTTGTGGGGCATACATCTACTTCTGAGTTACTGCTACTCCATAGCAATATTCCTATGTTTATTTACAAAGCTTAGGTTAGTTCAGCACAAGG